CGCTTGAAAGCGCGCTGGTCTTTTAAGGAGTAGTTCCTCTTTGATAGCCCTCCCTGGGAGTGAAAGAGTTGATTGGGATCCAACGTTGTCAGAAAAGAACATGAACCCCTGTTGGATGGTTCGCTTCACGGTTTACCCTTTGACCCTGAAGAGTGACTAGCATCTAATTTCTCCTTACAATAGCACACCTGGATCAAACGTTAAGGTCACGAGAATAAAGGAAATGATCACCAACTAAAGAAGCTCTTGATTGTTAAACAAATGCTCCTTGGCAGCATCTTTGGAAATATGTGGTGAACAGTTTGGAGAATATGCATTGCAATGTTAGGGAGTTGAGAATTTCTGTGTCTCTTTAGGTTGATTTGAGTGACTTGAAAAAGAAGACCCTGCAAGTGGAAAAACTCGCTCGTGGGTCACCAAGCGCAGAACTGGCTCGATCGCTCAATGAACTTGGAGTTTTGTACTTCCTTCAAAATAATCATGAGTAAGTTTTCTTTGCTCTGACGATGGGCTAGCGCTCGAAACGCCAGCTTTTGAATTTCTCTATGGTGTTATATTTACATTATCAACTCCGTTTATTAATTAAAGTATCTTGTAATATACTTCTTCCCCCTTCCCCCTTCCCCCTCCCCATGACGCTGCACACCACAGTTTTTTTTATAGAAACTTAGCCCCTTTAAGTTTTATTTGAACTGTTTCTTGTTCTGCTTTCACAAATATATTTAGATTTTTGTTTGGGTAAAATTTCCAAGCACAATGCAATGTGCAAGTGAATGTCGAAAGCCATGCGTGAAAGCAATGATTTTGCTTTAATTCACCTTGTGATTGGTGTGAATAACGTCTCCCTCTCAACCAATCAGATGCAAAGCAAAGACCAATAACCTCTTAGTAATCAGAGTATTTGTGCGCTTGAGATGTCCAGTTTATGCTATTTTGATTTTGAGTTCTCATTGGCTGCCTGTGATTTTTTCGTTAATCTCAGTGGCCCTTGTTATTAATTTGGTTTTGCTGAGTGTGTATTGTTCTCTTTATCTGACAGAGCGGCAAGTTCATTTTTCCAGCGTTCTCTTGAGATGCGCGAGGCTGTTCTTGGTCCTGATCACCCAGATGTGGCCCAATCTCTGCATAACTTGGCAGCCTTGTACAATGATCAAAAGTTGTAAGTACCAAGTTGTGCGTGCGTGATTTTTTAAAGGTAAAGTTTGTGTAGAGATATTTACGTCTAAATGAACGCCTTTTTTTGAAGGACTCTCTTTGTTCCTCGTCCATCCTTCCTTTTTTTCTTCTTCCCTCGCCCTCAACATGTTGCTTCTCAGTTCAGTTAGTAGTTGCGTCCAACTAGTTTCTGGGAGGCATGAGTTCGAATCCTGTCAAAACCCGAAGTTTTTCAGACTGCCCCCCTGTAATTTCTCTAAGGGTTGTTTATTTACTCGGAATCTCTTCCGAAACTGTTGACAGATACACCCAAACGTTCAGACATACTTCAAGATGATAGTATGTTTTCTAAAAGATTAATTATCTATCCAGGTTTTTCATGGTGTAACTCTTTTGCGATGAATTTCTTCTAGGTATGAAAAGGCGGAGCCTCTCTATTCAAGAGCTTATCAAATTAGGCTAAAGGTAAGATTTTACTAACATGCTAAAACTTTAAGCGATCGGGTCATGGTGTTTTTTCTTGAACAATGCACTTTGCCCTTGGTAGTGTATACATTTGCTGAATTTGACTGACAGGTTAACATACTTGCTCTGTTAAATGATTTTCATTCCTTTGCAGGCCTTTCCTTCAAATCATGGAAGTGTAGCATCTACTATCAAACACTTAGCTGTTCTTTACCGAAAGCAGGTGTGACTGTTGTTCTCTCTTTAGTCTGTAATGACCTGTGATAACTTCAAAAGAAGTATCTCCATCTTAATGTCTTTAGTTGCAGTTTTTCAGCTTAATACACTAATATTCTCTCTTACGATCTCATCGCTAATTCACAGACAGTTTCTTGAAACAGAGAAACGGTTTCATTTAAAAAGAATCTCTTGTTTTTATTGTTAGGGTAAATATTCTTCAGCGGAGCCGTTATACAGGTGAGCATACAAACATTTATACGCTTGTAACTAAGTCTTGTAGTGTGAAACTGGCGCATGTTTGCAGTTCTCCTTCGTTAAAAACAACACTTAACCTCTCCATGAGGAAATCATTGTTGTAAGGTTTTTTTGACCAACTTTTAAGAACACACCCGAATTTTTTCTTTTTGGTGTTGTTAATGGTGTATGGAGCCACTTTAGAAAGTAACTAGGACGTCCGCAAAGGAGAGGTTTATTTGTTATTGCCCTTAACCATTTCTGTGTTTACCCTGCAGACAAGACTTGGAAATCCGAGAGAAGACATTCGGTAAATCGCATCCAAGCGTCGCCACAGCCTTGAACAACCTCGCTGTAGTGTTATGTCTTCAGGTATGATAGTGACTGGCGTAATAAAGCATTACTTAATGCGCTTTTCGCTGTGCGTATGATTTGATGAGCAATTGTCTAGTACTCTTCTCCTGGAAAAACGCGAGTCAAAATCACGTGTCATGTGTTTAATTTCCGACACGGTATGTACTAAAGCAATTGTCAGTTTAAGTAGAGGATAATTAGCATTATTGACCTTCACTTCGACAAATGATTGTGAATTGTTGCTGATTTGATTAACAGGACAGACAGTCAGAAGCATTACCACTGTATGAGCGAGCTTTACACATCTATGAAGACACACTGGGTGGATCACACCCACGAGTTGCCGAGACACTTGTGAACCTTGCCAAGCTGTCTTACGACCTGGTGATTCAAAAGCTTTTTTTTTAGATATGTGTGAACTGTGTGACCTCAAAGCATTCCCGCCCAGAATCTCATTTAAATGGTTATACACTCGGATTTTATACACAGACTAGCTGTAGCCCAGTTTCCTATACAATTCCCATGCAACCTCTTTCCGGCCAGACTTTAGTTTGCCCAAGGTTACAAGCAGCCATGTAGTATTTTATTTTTTATTTAGTATTGTAACCGCCTTTATAACGTTGCTTAACTTTCCTGTTTCCATCAGGGATTCCCAGAGAAAGCTGCCCAGCTGTATAAACGAGCAAACGACATCAGACAGAATGAACCACAGCCTGGTCTCTCTCCTCGTTCTTCCTGCAGTCAGCTTAGTAACAACTATTTGCGTAAACACTCCCAGCCGCACGACAGTGTGTCAAGGGTGATATCATTATCAAATAGTTGAGGGTTCACTATTAGAACGTTTCTATGTCACTTTTTAGAGTAGTGGTCACGATTCCTTTATTAGAGATGTTACAGTTAAATTTAGCCAATCATAGGAAGGATTTTAACGTTGAGAGCCAATCAGGTATAAGTATTTGCGATAGTTGTGCGCCATTTCCCGCGCTTTATCCAACGCATCTTCCACATTGTCTGTCTACGCTCTGATTGGTTTATTTTATTGTGTAGGAAGCCAATCAGAAGCTATCACGGCCGTGGCTTCGTGCTATTTCTTTACTTAACATAAATTTTTAGTTCAATTCTTACTTCAAACGTGGATAACAATATTCTATCTCTGTGTTCGACTCGAGATGTTACACATGGTTTTGTTTAACAGTCACATCTGATATTATGGTCAAAGGTATTCTGAGAGGCCAGTTACGAAGACTAAAATCTCAGCGCTAAGATCTTCACTAGTTGATTGACTGCGACATCTCCTTTACTTGGCTGAAAAGGATAAGGGCACTTTTTGATTGAGTGTCAGTCGTAAAACATAAAATCCAAGGTAATCACAATGGCCACTCAGAAGAGAGGAAAATACCTTTAAGAGCCAATGAGAACTCAGTCAAAACAACCAAACTTCTTAAAGGGCGGGAAAACACCAGCAACAAAATCGTGATGGGTGTTAGTTACACATCTGTGGCGAGAGAGAGAGGCGTGAGTTTTCTGGACTAATCACAGAGAGAAGGAAAGCAAGCAATCACATTCGGTTACTTTCGACATTCAATTGAAAATTGCCTCTACCTTCCATATCATCCAAACTCAACCAAATTATTAACAAACCTTACATGATAACTTCCTAAAAAAACTATTGTTATAAGTAGATTTTACAAACATAAGTTGTGGACTTAATCTTGACTCAATTGGAAAGATGTACTGTAGATTCTTAGCAGTGTGTGCTCTGAATTCAAAGCAGAAGCCACGTCAACAAATTAACAAGTGGCTGTATACGACTTTATACTAATTGACGAGCGTTGAAAAGAATATATTACCACCTTCGTGAACTTTAAGATAATTAATATATCCACCAAAGACATGTAGAAGAAGGCTTTTGCTTGCGTTTCCCTTTATAATCTCGTTTATCAGAGGGTTTATACGTCACTCAACGTATTTTTTAAAGATTTATTTAATATAAAAGTACAAAAGGCTTCTTTCGGCTGGTCCATTTGATTTAGGAAGCATTTATAAAAAACTTCGGCAACTATTTTAAGCTTTTTTTAAAAGATTTTCAAGGGGTTAAGAACAGATATAACTACTCATCGAAGAGATTTTATGGTATATATTAAGAAAGTTTTTTATATGTAAATAAAGTCAAATCATAGAAATCCTTTTTACATTTGTTTCAATTTATTTTCCTTTTTAACGCAAACGCTGTACCAAGTAATGTCTTTTCCTTCATTCCCCACAACATACGTGTAAAAGTTAAAACTCTCTTGTGGGCTGAGAAAGTCCTATCTGAATATTCAAACAATAGAATTTTCTTAATGAGTTTGAAAACTCGGTTTGCTCGCATTTTGTAGCTCATGATAAAGGGCGTGATCAACTTTGTATTGTATGCAAGTGTCAAAGTATGAGCTCTCTTGTGGGCCGAGAAAATCTCCTGAATATTGAAACAATAGAATTTTGTTAATGAGTTTGAAACTCGGTTTCGCTAGGGTTCTTCCAACCTGCCAAAAAGCTCATTAACCAAATTCTATTGTTTCAATATTCATGTGTTTATATCTCTGCGAAAAAGAGGAGTTCCTAGACATGTTATAGCTCGATAGAATGAGCTTGACTAGCTGTGTATTGTGCACAAATGTCAAAGTAAGAGCCCTCTTTTTGACCGAGAAAATCCCCTCTGAATATTGAGACAATAGAATTTTGTTAATGAGTTTGAGAACTCGGTTTTGCTAGGGGTTCTTCCAAGTTGCCAAAAGGCTCATTAAACAATTTCTATTGTGTCAATATTCATGCGTTTATATCTCTGCGAAAAAGAGGAATTCCTAGACATTCTATGGCTCGATAAAAAGAGCTTGATTAGCTGTGTATTGTGTACAAGTGTCAAAGTAACAGCCCTCTTTTTGGCCGAGAAAATCCCCTCTGAATATTGAAACAATAGAAGTTGGTTAATGAGTTTGAGAACTCGGTTTTGCAAGGGTTCCTTCCAAGTTGCCAAGAGGCTCATTAACCAATTTCTATTGTTTCAATATTCATGTGTTTATTTCTCTGCGAAAAGGAGGAATTCCTGGACATTTTATGGCTCGATAAAAAGAGCATGATTAGTTGTGTATTGTGTACAAGTATCAAAGTAAGAGCCCTCTTGTTGGCCGAGAAAATCCCCTATGAATATTGAAACAAAAGAATTTTGTCAATGAGTTTAAAAACTCTGTTTTTCCAGGGTTCCTTCCAACCTGCCAAAAAGCTCATCAACCAATTTCTATTGTTTCAATATTCATGCGTTTATATCTCTGCGAAAAAGAGGAATTCCTAGACATTTTATGACTCGATAAAAAGAGCTTGATTAGCTGTGTATTGTGTATAAGTGTCAAAGTAAGAGCCCTTTTGTTGGCCGAGAAAATCCCCTATGAATATTGAAACAATAGAAGTTTGTTAATGAGTTTGGAAACACGGTTTTGCTAGGGGTTCTTCCAAGTTGCCAAGAGGCTCATTAACCAATTTCTATTGTTTCAATATTCATGCGTTTATTTCTCTGCGAAAAGGAGGAATTCCTGGACATTTTATGGCTCGATAAAAAGAGCTTGATTAGCTGTGTATTGTGTACAAGTGTCAAAGTAAGAGCCCTCTTGTTGGCCGAGAAAATCCCCTCTGAATATTGAAACAAAAGAATTTTGTCAACGAGTTTAAAAACTCTGTTTTTCCAGGGTTCCTTCCAACCTGCCAAAAAGCTCATTAACCAATTTCTATTGTTTCAATATTCATGCGTTCATGTCTCTGCGGAAAAGAGGAATTCCTGGACATGTTATAGCTCGATTAAAAGAGCATGATTAGCTTTGTATTGCGTACAAGTGTCAAAGTTAGAGCCCTCTTTTTGGCCGAGAAAATCCTCTCTGAATATTGAAACAATAGAAGTTTGTTAATGAGTTTGAAAACTTGGTTTTGCCAGGGTTCCTTCCAACCTGCCAAAAAGCTCATTAACCAGTTTCTATTGTTTCAATATTCATCCGTTTATATCTCTGCGAAAAAGAGGAATTCCTAGACATCTAATGGCTCGATAAAAAGAGCTTGATTAGCTGTGTATTGTGTACAAGTGTCAAAGTAAGAGCTCTCTTGTTAGCCGAGAAAATCCCCTATGAATATTGAAACAATAGAAGTTTGTTAATGAGTTTGAAAACTCAGTTTTGCTAGGGGTTCTTCCAAGTTGCCAAAAAGCTCATTAACCATTTTCTATTGTTTCAATATTCGTGCGTTCTATCTCAGAGAAAAAGAGAAATTCCTGGACATTTTATCGCTCGTTAGAAAGAGCTTGATTAGCTATGTAATGTGTGCAAGTGTCAAAGTATGAGGTCTCTTGTGGGCCAAGAAAATCCCCTCTGAATTTGGAAACAATAGAAGTTTGTTAATGAGTTTGAAAACTCCGTTTTGTTTTTAGTTCTTTCCTGTTACCAGAAGTTCATTAACCAATTTCTTTTGTTTATTATTCATGCGCGCATATCTCAGAGAAAAAGGAGAATTCCTAGACATTTTATAGCTCGATAGAAAGAACTGATTTACGTGTATTTCATGTAAGTGTCAAGAATATCCCTCTAAATGTTAAGAAAAAAAATAAACAGTCCCGGGATTATCTGAACATGGTTGAATATAAAATTCAGAAGGAGGCAATGGGATTTTAAAGACTGGAGAAAAGTTATCGACAGGTTTTTAAAACTTTCGTTTTTATTGCATTGAACTACCTTTACATCTTACACCCTATTCACACCAGCAAAACATGTTCTGTTAAACTGGTTTTTACTGAATGAAAATCATAAACAGAGAACTGAAAAACTTAATTTTCCATAGGATTCAAGTACTTGCTAACTTTCATTTCCACTTTACTAAATTTAAGTAAAAAATTTAGGTTAAGTAGTTTGTACGAAGAAAAAAAGTAAATTGTGTTTAACAAAACAACTCTAAAACATGCTTATGCTTTGGTGTGAATGGGGTATTAGACACATAAGTAAACTGATCATCAAGAACATAAAATAGCTTAATTTGTTATAAATAATAGCGTCGAATATTAAAAAAAGGCTTTTAAAACCTTCCTTGCTACTCTCGTCTCTATTGATCTATCCTTTAATTTTACATGTTCCAGAATTCAGTTTTGCTTAAGTATCGAGGTATTTGACAGTGGACAACTTCTTAGATGGGAGGACACAACATTTTCCAACTGGTTCCAATAACGCAAGGCATGCCATACAAACTAAATTTAAGTTAAAAATATTAATGGCAAACAAGGAAGCGACTTGTCTTAAGAATGAGATGTAACATTCGTTTTAGTAATCTTAGTAAACCTGGGCAGCAGAAAAAGCTTCAAGTCACACAATGCATGTTGCATTACATTTCACAAAAGGTATGTCACACAATACATGTCAAAAAGTATGTCACACTAACGGAGGACATACTTGAATATTGCTGTAATGCATATTACTCGATAGGGAGTTAAGCACAACATTGAAAACGGATGGTAGGTGAAAATTCAAAAATTTAAATTTTAAAAAATTTTTCCTACATTTTTCTACTGAACTGACGAAGGCATCTGAAGAAGAAGTGTATAAACTCAAAGTTATGTGACTTTTGCTATTGCCACTGCTGCAAGGATCACGCTCAAACTTGTTAAATAATATATTTATGTGAACATAGTGTAAGTTAATTTTTAGAAAGCTTCAGTTTGATTCTGGCCCTATATACTCTTGAGTTTCTTCATCAGGTCTTCCACACTTAATTCATCGTCAGCTGATATTTGACCTTCACTGCTGATCTCCTGTGATATCTGCTAACAATTTGGAACCAATATTCAAATCACTCCTGAACATCTGAAGTCAATGATCAAGATTACCTCCCACCCTACCCTCCCTCCTGTCGGTAATATACTACGTATGACCCTGTAATTTTTCTTTCCATAACCCATTTATACTCCTGGGAGGAGAGGGACACTGTTAGACAACAGTCTTGACAAGAAACACGGCACATTGAGGCCAGTCAGGGGTGGAACCCAGACCTCGTTATCCTAAGTCCTAATTCCAGAGTGATTAAGATCAGGCCATTAAATCTCTTACACACCAATTACCACTTAAAAATACTGAGTACCCCTCAAAAAAATATACGCTTTTCCCCTTGATAGAACACGACTTAATGTTGCACCAAATAATCCGAGGTGTGAGCCAAAAAGGGTTGTGAAGAAATTTGACTTTACATTACAACCAAGTAACCCTTAAAAATTCTATTCGGTAACCACAAGAAACTTTTTATAAATAAATCAACTCCGGAAAGAATGACCCCCCCCCCACCTGCATTAAGTGATAAAAAATATAGCAATTCAAACCCACATGTACCTTTCTTTGAACTTTTGGTTTAGAGTATGCATACTGTATTCCTGCTACAAGCTTTTGGGATGCTTCGTCCTCTTCGATATCATCTTTGGCTTCATCAACTAAAGTAATACCTAAGACAAAAGGCAGGTGCGGCAATGATAAGAAAACATCCAAAACAAAATAACAAAATAAACGAATTAATAGTTACAATGTCCCGGAAAATACCAATAACTGAACGACGATGATAATGAAAGTGGAAATGGAAACAGTAACCGAAATGATATAAAATGGTATCCTCAGAACTAAGAAGGGTTTGGAGACAATTAAAAAGAGTTTTACGACAACTAAGAATAGTTTAGCGACAACTAAGAAGAGTTTGGCGACAGCGAAGAAAGGTTTGGCGACAGCTAAGAGAGGTTTGGCGACAGCGAAGAAAAGGTTTGGCGACAGCTAAGAAAGGTTTGGCGACAGCTAAGAGAGGTTTGGCGACAGCGAAGAAAAGGTTTGGCGACAGCTAAGAAAGGTTTGGCGACAGCTAAGAAAGGTTTGGCGACAAGTGAGGAAGAGAGTTTATTTTATATGTAGGCGAGTTCAATAACGAGTTAAATAACGAGTTAAGTAGCCATCGAATACAGTCATTTCCATCCTGGATGACGAAATCCACATCTTCTTTTATGGGAGAAGGTCAAAAACTCATACATTGACCTTCATTGAAAAACAAAATGCACGAGTCAAACACCCACCCCACTCGTTATCCTCGTGTTTCACTTCTTCTTTTTCTTCTTCAATTGCTTTTTCTTTTTCTTCTTTTTCTTTTTTAGCTG